TTCTTTCTATGTACGTATATAGTGTATTTGTCTAACATTTAGGGATCGCAGTAATTGGCGCAAGCTGTTGCGATTGCCCTGCCAGTTTTTTGTGTTAACGTTGTTTAAATCTGGCAAAGTTAATAAATTAAATTAACTTGTAAATTGCATACTGCCCGATATAAGTATTACAATTAAGGCAATTATTAAAGCCGTTTTCCAATATAGGCGAATTTGTTAGCAAGATGCGAAGCGATCCTATTTATTCGCAGCGACGTTTTCGCCTGCAAAACAAATTCTTGACAAGTGAAAAACCTACTTAGCTTCAGTGAAAGAGCGAGCGACTTAAGGTAATTCCGCAGTTTTGCATTGCGCACTTTTACTGCGCACATCTTATAACTTATAATTTCATCCATTATACGTACCGTTTAAAAAGCAATCATTTTATGACAATTTTATGTTACTTCAAAACATCTTTGGTTACATTCGTGCAAAGAATGACGTTAAAATCAATGTTTTCAAAAAAGGCATCCAAAAGTGTAGCTAGGGTTCCCTGTGTCTGTAGTATATTTATTTACTTGTATTTCACGTTTTAATGCCACAATTCCCTAAAATGATCGGTGACCCCCGTTTTTTAACAGATAATTTATTTCTTTAATGCATTTTACATGTCATATCCGAAATTAAAAGAAAAATCATTTCTGGATCTTGAAAAAAAATGCTTTATCAATGCATGTTCTCAAAGAAAGATATGTAAAGAAATGTGGAAAAGACACTTGAGGATCAGAATTATACACGTTAGTAGTTTCATTTTGCTCAAAACACAATATTTTTTCAAAAATAATTACAAGATAGGTTTACTAAAGCAAAATCCGCGCTAAAAACGTCAATAAATATCGGGCTGTCGTGATTTTGCTGTTACTCGTAATGGGCGTCAAGATGGCGCCATATTGGGGTAAAGATGGTATATTGGGATTGTCATATCTTCTTAATGAGTTCGGTGACCCCGACTTTTTTGTGTGATTTTACTTTAAGTATATCATAAACTCCATGCCGGGAAGTTTCAGCACATTCTCATTTCGGGAACAATTACTGCGGAATTACCTTAAAGCGAACTTTACAATGCGCATTACTGATGAATTTCCTTTTCGCTTGCGTATACGTACAAGACTTCATGAATTTATAAACAAGTACATTACTTAATTTTGTGAAGTACAAAAAGAATGGCCACAAAGCTAAAGCCAAAGAATGGCCACAAAGCTTTGAAGATTAATCTGTAATTTTCAAATACTGAAATTTCAATAAGCTTAGCCACTAGTCAAGGCAATGGCGGAAATTTCACAAAATTTTAGGAGGCAAATTTATGTTACCTACATATTTAGAAATAACAGTTGTCAAAAATTTCCCCCTAAATTTAATGGTAATTATCTTAATAAAAAGGATATAATTAAAGGTTTTCATGCCCAATTGTTGCAATTAATTTTGTTACTTAGTTGATCAAATATCTTTCGCGGCGGGGAGGGGGGAGGGGGGGAGGTGTTGTTACTTTTTGGCCCCCTACTATCCGCCATTGTGTGAAGAATTGATATGATATTTTGTAATACAAACAAATTTACCTTTACTGTAATGTACTGCTTGCTATTTAACAATTACGGTATTGAAATGCTATATAATTGTCATATGTAACCTTTTCTTATAAGATTCACAATACTGTTTTTCAATGGACCGTAATTCGCAGCATTACCAGCGGAGAGATTTTTTAAACTGAACACTTCCCATCCACTTCCCCTGTTGGTCAAACAACACATAATGATAGCTTGAGAATGGGCAGCATGGCTCATTTTATCGTCACACAGCTGTTTGTTTGGAAACTTCGCATCGAAAAATCGTAGACTTGGATTGGGATATTTTGATATATTTGGAGAACTCCACGCACTCAAGGTGAACACCAGCTTGTTGATATGAGCTGGTATTGATTTGATTGACACATTTATGGTATGATGGCCTAATCGCTTGACATCATCCATTACATCGCCAGAATGTCTGACTGCCGAACATGATGTACTTGCTCTGTGCCTATAGTCAACCACCTCTATAAACTTTGAGCCACTGTAGAGTAATACAGAAGCATCAAGGTAATCACAGCCACTGTATGGATATCCCCAGAAGAGATCGAAAATGACACGATCAAATCCATCTGGTATTGCATACAATAAGACGAGCAAATATATTGTGCTGTTGGGCTGAACATGATAGTCTTTCAACTTGTGAACTTCGTTGTTCTGTCCTCTTGGCTGGAAAAAGTATATATATACATATTATAATCGTTAATATCTTATCCGTATCTAGTTATTCACCGTATATGAGCTGTTCTGCAATCTGATTGGTTGAATTACTCGCCGTATTAAAGAATTAATACCGAAACAACAGCGAAAAAAAAACATGTTCATTGAGAACATAAATTGTTCAGAAAAGTTTGCAACGAAAGACAAATGAATTTGCAGTCAACAAGCACTTACTATACTACCAAACATCTGTATAATATATCTGAGCTTTTCTGTGAGATATACCGGTTCTAAAACCATTTCTCCTTCACTTCGTCTTCGTGTTGTAAAACAAAAGTATTTCAAATTTTCAAGGCCAAGCGGTTTTTGGCCGAACAAATTGTCAAGAAATTGTAGCAGAGGATAATTAATTATTGCTTCAGTCAATGGCTATTAGACTATATTATAAAACAATTATACCATTCGCTCTCGTCGTATATGGCTGATAGCTGACTCGATGCTACGCACGTCGTCGGCTATCAGCTCATATATACGACTCGAGCTTATGGTATAATTGTAGTAAATATTTAAGAAATGTTAAATATATAGTTCGATGCTGCCCCTTTAGAGAATGGTTACAACCACGCAGTAAATTTTGCATACATTTTCGAGTTAAAGCATCAATCGCTTCAATAACGTTACGAGTCTGAAAAGTTTCAATACATGATTGACTGAGCGAGTGCAACCGTTCTACAAAGTATGGATAACAATCTATGGCTATGCAGTATGCATGCTGGGCTAACTTGAAAGGTACCTTTAGCTCAGTGTCGTTGTACAATAAGCTTTGTTTGTTGGAAGGAGTTTTCAATTCTTGCTCAACAATATCTTTCAAACTGAGAATAGTTTGGTTAGGATTGTAAACAATCGTAGTGCACTCTCCAGATAGTGTAGTTATAACTATGTGCGATTCTGACTCATCAGTTGGATCAAGGGATTGACCAGCTGTATTAACTTCGTCATCAACAGCAACTGTGGGGAAAAGGAACTCCAAAGTCTGGACATATTGCTTGTACTGTTCGTTGTCTTCTGTAACTTGGACATCACATTCAGAACACTTATGATGATCTCTCACTGACGCTGTTACACACTAAAAGAAAAACAAGTCTTGAAGTCAGAGTGACAGAGATCTCAATGATCGCAGGAGATTCATCAATTATTCTTTCGCAGTTCTGCTAAAGTGTATGGCCTATAGTTTATTTAAAGGACAGCAAGCTGGGACTCTTCAAGAACTAGTAACAACTAGTGAAATTGAATAACTGATGAAAACAAACATGCAATATCTAGTACACATGTCTGTCACTGAGCACGAACGCAGTGAATGTAGTTTAGTTTGAAGGTGGGCGCTGATTCTCCTAAACGAATTAAGGTCATTCTGAGCCATTGAAATGTTCTGAGCTGAAGAAAAGTTCTTGCAAATTAAATTATTTGTGTTAAGTTCTTGCATATTAAATAACAAACTCATTAATAATTCATGAGTCTTCTGTTCTTACAGTTCACCTTAATAATAGCCTCATACTACAGTAAAGTCAGTACAGGCCTAAACCACCTAATGAAACTTAATATATATTAGGGACCTCAAGCAATCAGGGAGGCAACGTGAAATTCATAATAGACCCATAATATTACAGAGTGGAAATGCCGAATAATAATCTCGTCCTCGCGCTCTGTTTACAAACGGGAAATCATAGACATAGATTTTCATGTCTTGTTTACAATGCTTGCTTTCATGCCGCGATGCAAGTGCTAACACCAAATTGCCATTTTTAATTGGCTCAGTTGAACTCTTCTCAGTTTTCAGCCATAAAACTGTCTTATAACCCTCCTTAATTAAACTGTATTAATTTCATATTGCGGTGCCCGTGCCATTTTTGGCACCGCATTATATTCTGCCTGTGAGTTTGTCCGTTTGTTAGTGTGTCCGTTTGTTTGTTTGTTAGTTTGTTCGCATCAATACGTTTCCTTAATCGCCTACCAAAAATTCCTTGCACGTGCTCGGAATTTATCAACCTCGTTCCCAGGGCTTTTCCCTTTTTGTCAAAATTTATTAATCATTATTAATCGTGTACTCTCATGACGATCGACAGTTTGCTCAGCTTTATCTCTGGTTTTATGCGTCAAACAAGGACAAAAATACCACTGTTCGAATCAGCGTGAAAAGTTGTGTAAAATTGATTTCAAAATTGACTTCTATTCTAGCGATTTGTCGCCTTTGAAAGACAAAAGCCGCTCAAAATAATCCTTCACGTTTTCCGAATTCCTTTTTTCGAGGAAAGTTTTCTTTCGAATTAATCTCGGACCCGGCGTCTCACGATTGATTTTTTGCTGCGCCTTATCTCTGGTTTTATGCGCCCAGTAAGGACAAAAATACCACCGTTCGATTCAGCGTAAGAAATTATACTTAAAGATGTCGAATGTATTACAAAACAGTATTCTAGCGATTTATGGCCTTTGAAAAACAAGCGAAATTGTATTGTTCACAAATCGCTCAACATTATTAAACTAATTAAAAATGCAATACATTTGACCAATTGATAACTTTCGTATTGTTGGTTTTCTCTTTATCGGCCGTATACCAGTGGGTTCGTCTCACTTTTCTCTTTATTTTGTTAGTAGTTTGAGCCCAAAATATTATATTTTGAAGGTTTTAATGTGCAGTTTTAATAAGCGAAATTGTATTGTTGACAAATCGCTCAAAATTATTAAACTAATTAATACATTGACCTGAAAGGTCAAGTGTCTTAAATCTCTAATTTTCTGTTTTCTTCTAGGTAGCGGGTAGGCGGGTAGGTAGGTAAAACTTTATTTTACTACGCTAACCCCTACAGCAAAAGCTGATTTCCAAGGGGG